GTGCATAATTTCACGTTACACCTGATCTTGAAAGCTGATTGGTGTGCAGAATTTTTGGAGGTGTTCTTGGGGTAGTTTAGAATCTCATTTGTCCGACACTTTTTTCCCCGGGTTGGACGATTAATAGCAATAACGATTTCTTCTACAAGAATATGGTTACTTTACTACGAAACGCGGCTCTTTGTAGTCTGTGGCAAAAAATAGCCCTCTCAACTATAAACCGGCGTGTAAGTATTTCGAAATGTCACTATTTGCTGTTTGACAGACTTCTTAATCAATTAGTTATCTATTTAGGCTTTAACGACAACTTCAAAACTATTTAAAAATATTCATGATATTCATGAAGAAAAAGTTAGTTATCCAGGTGCAACTGAGAGCCATTTCACTAGTGAACTGAAGTTTATTCAGAGTATCGCACCTATACCTACATATCGAGTTATGGATCGGCACGGGAGGATTCTTGATCCCACGCAGGAACCACAGGTATTCAAAAAAAAAAAAAAAAAAAAAAAAAAAAAACCCCATTACAATAAAGAAATAGCTTTTTTTTTTTTTTTTTTAATCCTTAAGGTATCCAAAGAATTTTCCGTAAAGATATACAAAGATATGGTTACATTAAATATTCTAGATTTTATTCTTTATGAAGCTCAACGACAAGGTCGTATAAGTTTTTATATGACAAATTATGGTGAAGAGGCTTATATCGGCAGTGCTGCTGGTTTAGATAGCCAAGATGTCATTTTTGGTCAATATAGGGAATCTGGTGTGTTATTATATCGCGGATTCACACTTGATAATTTTATGAATCAGTGTTATAGTAATGAAAAGGATATAGGAAAAGGTAGGCAGATGCCTGTACATTATGGCTCTAAAGAGTTGAACTTTCAAACAATCTCTTCACCGATTGCGACGCAACTCCCGCAGGCCTCAGGTGCTGCATATGCGCTTAAGAGAGCTGGAAAGAAAAATTGTATTATGTGCTATTTTGGTGAAGGTGCTGCAAGTGAAGGGGATTTCCATGCGGCTCTGAACATAGCGGCGACAATGAAATGCCCAGTAATATTTTTTTGGTAAAAGTCATTACTTATTGTATACATACGTACACATAATATCAATATTATTTACTTTATTATTGATTTTTGATAAAGTCGGAACAATGGTTTTGCTATTTCTACACCTGCATTAGAACAATACAAAGGAGATGGTATAGCAAGTAGAGGAATTGGATATGGAATTGACACAATACGCGTTGATGGAAATGATGTCTGGGCCATTTATAATGCTACCAAAGCTGCACGACAACTCACAGTTGAAGAACATCGCCCAGTTTTGATAGAAGCAATGACATATAGAGTTAGTCATCATAGTACTTCTGATGATTCCTTTGCGTATCGTTCCAAAAAGGAAGTTGAATATTGGAAGCAACTTGATAATCCAATAGTTCGGTTTCGCAAGTGGCTAGAGGATAAGGTTTTTTTATTGAATTTTTTTTCTTTACTAGTATATCGATTTATGGCTAAATATCTACAATTTTAGGATTGGTGGAATGAACATGAAGAAAATTCGTTTAGAACTTCAATTCGTAAAGAAATTTTAAATGCATTTTCTAAAGCCGAAAAACTCTCAAAACCTTCTATTACAGATCTTTTCAATGACGTTTATGATTGCCCTCCGCAGAATATCATCGATCAGAGGAAAAAGTTAAAAACCTTAATAGAGAAATATCCTGAACACTATCCTCTTAAAAATTACAAAAACGAAGGTAAAGATTTGTGAACCGACATGTATTTTAAAAATTAGATAATTTCTTTCTATTGACACTGATGTGTGTAAAGTTATAACCTAATAATTTTAATTGGTTTATTGTATTGTTATTAATTTATAATAATTATTTCTTTGGCAAGTTTTTCATAAACGCCAATAAAGATGATATAACACTAGTTGGATCAGATGTGACAAATGTCTTGAAGATGTCCTCTAATATATTTGCATTATAAACCTTATCCTCTTAACAAAATTTTTAATCTTATCCATTGAATAAAATAATTAGCATTTTTTTTTTTAATAAGTTCATTTTTATTCTACGCATATACCAGTGTTGTCATGTTACTATGTTCACAGATATCTTTTTGGCTTGTTCACGTTCATGTCTATGTTCATGAATGTTCATGATGCTCACACACCTTATTGCTTAAGTTATATTATTAAAAAGGAAATTATTTTTATACCCCCAAATTTATTATTCATACCCCCTGTAGATTTAACATTTTTTAAAATTTTGAGCGAAGATATCTCGTTGAATTTTATAGATTCATAGGATTCGCAAAAATACTATTCCTGATGGATCAGCAATACCGATCTTGATGGAGTTAAAAAAAAATTTTATTTGAGTACTGTTCCTGATAGAGTTCTAAAAACAAACCCTAATTCTAACTTTTTTTCATTATATAGTATAGTATTTTGGAGGCCCTTTTTTAGAACCCTATCAGGAACGGTATGTAAATCGAATTTTTTCTCACCCTACCAGGAACAGTACCGACGATCCATCAGGAACGGTATTTTTGCATAGGATTCAAATAAAAAAAAAAATTTATTTTTTTTTATTTGAATTCTATAGATTTATAGAATTCAAACAAGAAGTTCATCGAATTTGACTTAGCAGTTGTTGAGATATCTTCGCTTAAAGTTTAAAAAAAATTTTGTATATTTTGTTTTTAATGATTTTGGCCAATCAAAATTTTTCAGCATGACTAAGCCACCATTTAATTCGGAATTTACTAAAAACTTTGGCCTCACATTGCTTATATTTTAGGTTTATTCATTTTTCACCACAAATAATACAATTCTAGTAATCAAATCGATTAGCTAATTTTAAAAAAATTGATCGGCTAAGTCGATAATTTGCTTTTAGCTGATTTTTTTACTATTGGTTATTATTTGTTTTAATAGATATTTTGATTTTTTCAAACTTTGAGTGAAGATATCTTAACAACTACTAGGCAAAATTTGATAATGTTTTTTTTATTTGAATCTTATAAATCTATTAAATTCAAAAAAAATATCAAATTTAACCTGGTAGTTATTGAGATATTTTTGTTTTTATTAAGTTAAATTTGATAGTTTTTTTATTTGAATTTATAGAATTTAAACAATAGATTATAACCAATTTTCACTCATAATGATATTATAGTATTATAAAATTTTTATTAAAAATTAAATAATTTTAAGGTTAGGGGTTAGAGTTAGCTTTAAATTAGAATAAAATATATTGTTTATATATTGAAAGCTTTTGCTTAGAAGAAAACAGTTTTTATAATAAAAATTGAAAACTTTTGCTTAGAAGTCAAAGTATAGTTTTTATAATAAAATTTTAAATTAATTTTTGGTATACAAGATCTAATGATTTGATTAGTTTTATATATGGGCTAGGTGCTGCAAAAAGGGACGAAATTGACAATTTTTTCAAAAGAATTTTTTTTACATAAATTGATTTAGAATAAGA